ATTTATTATTAATTTTTGCTTTTCGCTTTTAATCAGTTATTATAGGTTTGTAAACTTTATTTTCGTTTGTAGGCATTTCCTCGCGAATACAGTCATAATATCGTCGTGAATGGTCGTGAATATACAGTAAAGTTTTTGTGAGCTGTTGACTCTGTGTAAGATATTGACTATAAATTGGGTCGGCTTTAGTAATCTGCGGCACGATTTAAGTGATCATTTTAGCTTTAAGTGATAGGCAATGATGCTATTGATTATCATCTAGCTGCTTTTTATGCCGGAAATCTTTAGTTTTCGAGATATCGATAATTATAGTTTTGAGGTTATATCCATTTAAAAATGATACGGAAATGAAATAACAATATAATTATTAGAGAGTCTGTCACTGTGGGGAGGTTAAGGGGGCTTATCTCAAGCGCCCCCATGCTATTTTAGCTGCCGGAGCTGCGTCGAAATATTTAAAATTATTTTCTAAAAATATTCATAAATCACTAATGAATACCTGAAATTGAACTTTTGACATTGACAGTCACAGATAAACTCGACCAAAGAGTATATAATCACTCCGTTTTACGTTTATTTTCTATAAGCGTCATTCCGTTGCTTCTGAGTTTACGTCAATGTGCTCGTTATTGTTATTATCTACCTACTGTTTTTCGACGACTTCGCTACCCTTCTGGAGGCCGATTGCTTGCTATTTTACGATGTTTTTGGAAATGGTGGAAGTAATAAAGTATGTTTATTTATTAAAGTAATTATAAAAGTTAATATTTTGATGTTTTATTTGATGCTAGAGCGAGCGAAGTGAGCTCGGGACTTGGGGCACCCCGACTCGGACAGGTTAGGTTAGAAGGGGATGGCGGGCTCGAGTGAGCAAGCGAAGCGAGTGAACAGACCCCTTCATCCCCTTCGTGGTTATTTTTTTATAAACCATCCAGAAATGGGAGCCCCGCAAGGCGGGGCTCCGTCGAACGAGCTACAGTCGTCTACGCCACGTTGAGTTGGGCTACCCTCCCCCAACTCTTTCCCCCCACAAATCAGGTTTATATTGTCAAAAACATTACGAATACATAACCTCAAAATGAGATATTTAAAAATGTATAAAAAAAACTAAGCATGTCCGGCAGGAAATGGAAGTGGGGGGTGACTCTACAATTTCCCCCCCCCCTCCCACGCCCACTCGGCGACCATATATTCATGCCGCAGATTACTAAAGAAATACCTATAAATTAATTCATTATTTAAAAAATTTATGCACACGTGTATGTACACATGTGTGATCATAATCTAAAGTAAGATAAGTGTTGTGCAAGCAAAAAGCAATGAATTATCTGATCACTTTCCGCAGGTTTCCTAAAATAGGCAAAGAAATACTTATAACAATATTGTGGTAAGTCTATAAACATTGTGAATTTATTGACCGTTATTTGTAAGGATTATTACTATATGGACACGAATTATTTGTTTGGATGAGTTAAGTTTTCACCATGAGAATTTTTACTGATTTAAATTTACGTTAATGTTCTGTAAAGCATAACTCTCTGTAGTAACATATATTACATATCATGTAATTGATATGCATGGAAATATTATGCCCGATGGCAATAATAATTATGTGTAGTTTTTAAAACAATATGTCTTCCAGAAAATAAAATTACTTAACTATAACTATTTATAGTTTTATTTTATCCGACATGCTCCTCTAAAGTAAATTCGAGTAGTTTTGGTGCAACCTCTCAAATGTATGGGAATTCACCCAATAGGTTTGTGAGGCTTGAGCCAAAATTACTCGAATTAACCTTGAATAAACAAAAAGTTTAAAAGTTACAGTATACAAGGTTTAAAATTCCCGACAAAAAATGTTATATGGGCGCCCACCGTGGCGCTTTTAGTGTACACATAAACAAGTTTTTTTTCTAGTATGAACTTGGCGTTCTTCTTTCGGTAGAGAGTAATTAAAGAGTAATTGTGTTCTATGAGAGTAATTGTATTCTGTGCTCTCTAGTATATATTCCTATATAGTTGTAGTTAGTGGTTAACAGTTATTATTAATCTATGAGTTACTATACTCTTTGTCTGTGGTTTTTGGCGGGAACTTGACCGGCGGCGGTTTGCTGCACCTGTATTATTGCTTAAATAATGGTTTGAAGTAAATTTTGATATGTAAAAGTGGTGCGATTTTGTGTATTAAGTGTCTGCATATGTGAACTATTAGTGGAAACGGTGAAACAAGTGCTCTGGTGGTGATGTGATTCTCAAGATAAGGTGTCTGTCCGCTTAGGATACCATCGTCAACTGTCAGCTGTCTGCTGGCTCAAGTTGCCGTCAAAATCTCTCAAGGACTGCACAATGTGACACATTAACATATTGTGAAGCAGTATACTATGAAGGATAATTGTACATTTTACTTTAGGCTCAGAAGGGCTAGAACCCATAGCCGTAAATTCAATTATAAAAAAATTGTCTATGGGTAAATACCGAAGGCAGTAGTAGTGATTATATTCTCTTTGGGCAGTAGTCTTGTGCCTGGTCGGATAGTATCCACTAAGTAGTCTGTGCTGGTCGGTTATTTTAAAGATCGTTCCGTACTAGTACATTACGGACAGCGAACTAGTTTGTTCTATTAGTTATATTAGTTCAATTCGATCATCAGTACTACTAACCTGTTTAAATTGTATCTATCTTTATGGAATGGTTATCTCAGTCTGTCACTGACTGAATCAGTCAACAGTCAAACTGATAGATGCAATTTAAACAGGTTAATGCAGTCACTTTCAATCGGGCGATATTTGCTCGAGTCGTAAGGTTGTGTGATAATAAATATTATTAACTTAAAATTTGATATAATATTTGATATCCCTTCATAATTAAACAGGCTTATGACTGTCATTCTAGTCAATAGCATAAAGACAATAATATTATACCATTTTTATTATTGCAATAAAATATTTATCTATACCTACATAAATTTATTGGCCACTGAGTATTATGTAAAAAGGCTAAGCAGAGAGCAGGGATTTATTGTAAACTTACTAGGTGATTTGCGTAGCTAGCTACAGAGTGCCTCTCTGTAGCTAGCTCTCATCAGCTCTTGTCCTTGAATTAAAGATGGTTAATATATATTTTAACTGTTAAAATAATTAGTTAAAAAAATAACAAATTTATTAAATAAATAAAATTAACCAAAATTAATAAAATTATCACATTTCAGTTCATTCAAAACAATCTGCGATCGATTTCTTACCTTAGTGATTTATAATTTTATATTAAATTTTATATTTATGCCATCTAGCGTCTTCTATACGTGCCACCTTGAGAATCAATTAACTTTCGTTTGACTAAATGACTTTAATACCTGTTGAATGAAGTAGATGGCGGTTTACAAAGCAGTGTTATTCGAATGAAAATATTCCTTAAAAACATCAATACATGTTGTATTCTTTTGATATATTACATTAAAATTGTGGCTTCACATGTCTAAAAATAAGCATTGTAATAAATATTTGCTATAAAATTAACCTTATATCCAATATTTTATTTAACATCATGTCTACCTTGAATGACTACTGACTGATTCTGGGTTAATCTGTTTGCGTGCGTCGTTCTTTGCTTAATGGCTCGCCTGCACCGTTTTGCTTTGGCGTTGGCGTCTTGCGAGTGTAGGTGAACGAAAAGAACTGTTAGACCGATTAACAATCGGCATTCGGAAACGTTTCTTCTAGTACAGTGGCAAGATACGTCGATACAATATATCGTTCATCGTTCGCGAACTACACAAGCAAGCACATACACAAGACTAGAAGGCAGCGGGCAGCGCTAGTGTATTATCTGTGGATAATACACTATATACCAGGAAGTGGAGGTGGGCAAAGTGTATCATTTTTGGGATTGGAACATTTGCATCTTGATCACTGAAATGTTCCGAAACACTGATATGTTTCATTTGGCTCATTTGTATCCTCGACTCAAAAGATATAAAAGAAAGAATGTTCCGAATACATTAAGTTGCGTCGCGGGCCTTTATTACTGACTTATCCGTGAAATGTTATGTGGCAACAATGCTGAATAATATAAGTGCTTAGATTATTTATTGTGTACCGTAATAAGATTGTATATAAAATCGATTCTCCTTCATACTTTAACAAAAATGTCACTATGTCAATTCATTATTTACAAAAATGTCCATTTGCACAAAACAGCAATGTCTATGTACACAGAATTTACTCGTAAAGTATCATAACTCTAAAATTTTTGATGAAAAGGAAGTAATTAAAGTCACAATAATCACTGCTCAAAGAAATCCTAAACATAACTCAGTATGTTTTCGTAAACAGGCGCTAATGAATATAAACAATTTGACAAGTGCCGCCTCAACGTAAAATGACAACTAGTTAATGCAAACGTTACATACAAAAAACGACCGTATAGTATTTGACACATAAGCGCCTTAGTGGTAATTTTTACGTGCATGAATAACGTCAGCGAAAATCCGTACGAGTTGAGTGATACACTTCTTATTTGTTATCTCTATCTGACTTGTGTGAATTATAATTATTTCGCCCGCTCACTCGCCACTCGTAAGTCAGTAGTTAAGTTAGTCATTGTCTCTAAACGTAGTGATTATATTCTCTTTGATTGTCTCAGTCTCTCTCTCTCGCTCGTGGCTCAGTCGCCTCGCAAGCGACGCGTCGCGCGAAATGAGCAAAGAGCAAAATAATGTTTCACTGTTCCAGATACAAATGATACATTTGAAACGTTGTTACTGAACCAATTTTTTGTGTCACTTCAGTGATTCGTATCAGTGAGTTGTTTCCGTAAAGAGATACACACGCCTACCAGGAAGTATTATTATTATCTATGGGCAGCACTATACTAAAACAGATCTTTCAGATTTATATATATTTTCAATTAATTCAAGGAATTTATAAAAAGCTATAACGAGAAACGAGATATTTCAGTGATCTTATACCTTATACCTAATAATTGTTAGATTTAAATTGAATATGAATTCTTGGGACAATCAAATCCATCAATACGCTATGCAGAATGCAATAGCAATGAATTCAATGATGGCACCTCCAGTCATGCCGTCTAACATAATGGTCCAAGAAAATGCAATGAACGTAGCACCTATGAAACCGCCACCTGTCCCTCCGTTAATTGGTCCTGTGCTGCCGGAGGGAATGTTGAACGATAATAATGTAGAAGGTTCTAACGCGCCAGCCGTGGATTCAGAAGTTCAAAGTGCGGAAGCTGAAAGCAGTACTCACAGTCAGCGACGACATTCTCGTGATCGAGGTCGCAGAGGAAGCAGCAGAGATAAGAGGGATCGAGAAAAAGGTAAATATTATAATCAAATTTTCTACTTTCACAAAGAGAAAACAAGTGTTCATATTAAATAAATATACTCTACTATTTCTATTAGTCAATTCCTATAATTAGATTAAAGAAAAATTATTACAAACACAATTTTTTCATGCATATCAAAATATTTTTTGGGTATAATGTTCAAACGCTACTGCTTCCAATAAAAAAAAAACCATTATAACCTATAAACTATGAAACTATTTAACTTTTATTTATTATTTTACTTTCTCTTTAACATTTAACAGAAACAAAGTTTTATAGTCAATATACATTTATAAATAATACTTATTGCAAGTCACTCTTTTGTTTAATTACCACTGGTTTGAAAAAAGTGGGACTGTTTTTTTTATATAACAGCTTACAATCATGTATGTTACACAATTAACAACACAAAACAAATTAGAAATAGTTTGGTAGCGATCACCTCATTCCCTGTTATTATCATCCATAAATTCTTTAATATTTTAATAATCCTTTTATACAAACTTAATTTAACAAAGTCTTTGAACTTTGAGCAGATCATATTTTGTATGTGTATAATATTTGTTTAATTAGCTCTTCTTCATACCTCCTTTTGGCCCTTTATATTATGCTTGCAGGATATGTGAATATTGATTTTTATTTCTGAAAGTGGTTGTTAGTTTACAAAACTATTACCTAGTACAATACTGCTGGTGGATGAATAAAAAAATAAGATTTTTTTTAAATAAAAATATGAAAGATTATTATAAAGTTCAGGCCAATGTGTTAACAACCAATGTGTTAGCAATAATTAGTATAAAGTATGATGGGATTGGAATGTTGTTTTGATAAAATCCCAAAAAAATAAAGAGGAAAAAAAAAACTTGAAATATATCATAAAATGAGATGGCACCATAAACATTTGTCTAGCTTGTCCTTCACGTTGTGAGTTGTTATAGTATGTCTTCTTTGGTTGTTTGGCATTTTCTTATTCTGATTATCTGTAAAGACATAACCTACAAGTCAGGATTTTACATCAGGAAATTGTTCTGAAATATAGTTCCATGAATTGCATACTGCCTTACTATGTAAAACTGAACTGCATTGTTTATAGGAAATGCTGCATGCTACATATTGCAAAACAGCAAAAAAGCAATTGCCTGCAGCAGTTTGTCCACCGCCAAGTCTCTCCTTGCTTTTGGTCATCAAAAAGTTTCGTGTCAATAGATCTCTCACAATTAAACCGAATCCGAAAACTTACTCGCCAGCCTGTGTGTCTATTACTCTGACACACATCTCAATGACAGACTCTGCTTTGTTGCTGGTAGGTTGCAAAGAATGCATTAATGTATTTAGAAGTTTTTCTGAAAAAATAACCATGTTAGGCTAATATATATCTCCTCCTTCATAATACACACATTACTAATAGAGAAGGTCTATAGGTATCTAAGTGAACATCACCTTTTTTAGCATCGAAGCACAAGTCATGGAAAAACAATAATCAAATGGAAGATATAAAATGTGCATTAATTTTTCGCATCACAAGAGTAAATCTTTCTGTCTTTTATCTGAATTGGGAGAATGTTCTAGACAATATTGCCCCTACTTATATTTGTAATCACAGTGAAATAGTAGTGGAGGCAAGTTCCCACAAACACATTTACCAGTCCATGTACTTGTGAGTAATCAATGGACAAGGAAGCTCAAAGGATAGACCGATCCTCTTAATAAATGTTCACAGTTGTTAAACAGACCTATAAATTGACTACCGTGCTGGTAATTTGTGCTCACAACTTGTGTTGCAATCTTTATCACACTTTACAATTTGTTTTGCAGATAGTATTAGTTTTCCTAGGCTGATCAAACAACAACATTATTCTATCTCTATTTCACAGACAGGAGACATCGTTCAAGATCTCGTGATCGTAATGACAGACATGACAGAGGTGACAGAAATGACAGAAATCGACATAATCGTCGGGATAGATCTTCAAAATGGGAAAGTGATAGAGATCGACCTGGACTTTCACAAGGAGCAGCTACGCCAATGATACCAGTTGGAAATATGATGATCCCAGGTAAGTGAATAAGAGGCATTTTGTATGGCCTCCATTCATTCATAATAACTTTAAAAATATATTATATTTGCAACAATACTTAACCTACCTTTTGGTTTACGTATTCACATCCACAATAAATTAACGGATGAAGAGCCACACAGTTGGTAACACAACCTCAAAGAATACCGGTGTGAAATGGAAGCTCTGCTTGTGCGTTTCGTCTGGTGACTTGTTCTGAATACTGATCTATCGACTTTTTTCCTTTCGAGCTCAATTATCATTGCAGGTCACCAAGCGTTATCAAAAGCTTCTTCGATATCGATAGTGACAAGGGCGACAATTTCTCTATTCTTTAATCCTTGCCTGACAATCTCGAGGGCGTCGCATAGGGTGTCCTCAGTCCCTCTCTGTGAGACAAACCCATACCGTCTACCACTCATTTTACTTTCTGAGCCAAGTTGCCATGTCATACGGTTAACAAATAATATTTGGCCGGTAAGATTTAGCTAGTGTATAGTTCTCCTTGTTCGCCTTTGGGATGATTTTGATGATAGTATTTTTCCAAATCCGCTGGAAATACCCCAGGGTTAGACATCTATTGTAGATGGCTGATAGTACTTGCGATGCCGTCATATATGCCCTGAAACATATATCAGCGGTTAGTCCATCTTCTCCTGGTAATATCTTTGGGCTCATACTACTGAAGACATTGTCGATCTCAGTGAGTGTTAAAGGTATCACAGTTTCATCATTTGAGATGCTCAATAGGTCTTTCCTAATTACACTAGATCTGTTTCTAACTTCCGTATGTTGGGGCTCATCAGTTGTGATTTCGTCGATCGGATAGAATGTATCAGCTAAGAGCTGGGCAGATTTGTCCGGGGTGACCGGAGGCCCTCCCCCTCCTCATCAACATTGTAGCGAAATTAAATGAATGTCTACCCCTGGAGAATTCCTCGCTGCACATCCATGACTAAGCTATTCTATTCCTGAGTGTAGGTGCTCAGGTTGCCCCACGTATTCTGGTAGGGGAGGGGGCGGGGGGCAAATTTCCGCTCAAAATAATAACTGCTCGGGGCAAACTGAGCTTTATTGCTAAGGCGAACCCCGCCACGCAATCCGTAAATTTCACGGGACTTAACTTGATCCTAAACGCCGTCCACTAGCATCTCGAGACAGAGAAGTCGGCCTTGCTCTTTCTGACCGAGACGCAGGTGTCCTCTCCAGCTGATATTTCGTATCTCTCCTACCTGGGGTACAAATTGGAACACTCCTTTGTGCCTCGGGCTGGAGTTTGCGTATACCTCAGAGAGGACATCTGTTCTTGACGCCACTGCAGTGCTGAAGGTTCGGACCTGCCCATCCTTTGGCTACGCGTAGACAGCGACGACCATCCGCGTGTCTACAGGTGCCTCTATAGGTCCCATAGCTGTAATACCGAAACAGACCGACTCATCGAGCACGTCTAAATGGCTACAGATTCCTTGCCAATAGGCTCCATCTGCAGAGATCGTGATCTTTGGCGATTTTAATGCCCACCACGCCGAATGGCTCCGTTCACATTAAACCGATCATGTGGGGAGATCTGTTCATGATTTTGCCTTGGCATATGGTCTGACACAACTGGTTACTACGCCTACGCGGTTTCCAGATATGGAGGAGCATGCACCTTCCCTGTTGGCTCTTCTGCTGAACTCTCATCTGGACAGATATCAGGGTCTCCGTCGATGTCCCTCTTGGCTCCTCTCTGCACAAGGAGGACGACTCACTGGGCCATGCTGCAAAGGATAAAGCCGATCTGCTAGACTCTTTCTTTGCGTCCAAATCGACTCTCGATGACGGGAGGAACACACCGCCGACCATCCCGTGGTGTGAGTGCTCCATACCAGATGTGCAGTTCACACAGCGCTCGGTTCGCAAAGCACTCCTCTTCCTGGACATCCACAAGTCGAGTGGGCCTGATGGAATCCCCCCAATTGTGCTGAGGACGTGTGCTCCGGAGTTGGCACCGGTTCTAACGTGTCTTTTCCGGTACTCCTGCTCCCTAGACGTAGTCCCGAAATCATGGAAGACTGCTATTGTCCACCTGATCCCTAAAAAAGGCGACCGCTCAGACCTGTCTCACTACAGGCCTATCGCCATCACCTCCTTGTTCTGCAAAATAATGGAATCCATTATAAACTGCCAGCTCATGCGGTACCTTGAGGATCACCAGCTGATTAGTGACCGCCAATACGGTTTTTGTCGGGGTCGATCAACTGGTGATCTTCTGGTCTACCTGACTCAGATGGGCGGAGGCAGTAGAGTCCAAGGGAGAGGCATTGGCCGTTAGTTTGGACATTGCGAAGGCTTTCGATCGGGTTTAGCACAAAGCGCTTCTTGCGAAGCTCCCTTCCTATGGGCTTCCCGAGAAATTGTGCAATTGGATCACCAGCTTTCTTGCAGATCGGAGCATCAAGGTCGTTGTAGTCAGTGCATGCTCCGACTACACGCTTATTAACGCTGGCGTTCCACAAGGCTGCGTGCTATCACCAACTCGGTTTCTACTGTATATCAATGACTAATATAATAAAGCGGAAGACTTTTTTTGTTTTTTTGTTTGTTTAAACACGCTAATCTCTGGAACTACCAGTCCGATTTGAAAAATTCTTTTTGTATATTATAGCCAGATTCATGTCGAATAGTATAGGCTATCTAGCATTAAGCTATATTACTCAACTAGCCTTAAATATGGATATTTGTTAAGCAAGTCAGAAGAAAAAGCACTCCCGAAATGATTTATCCGCGTACGCTGGTGTTATCGTTAGGGATACGTAAATACAATGTTCTAGAAAAATATAGACCTTTACTCCGTCTAAAAAAAGTCCGCGATATATGTCTATTTCTTATACATAAGCCATAATTTGGTATTTTGTGACAAGAAAATATTGAAAATTTAAAAGTGATTTATGAGCGTTATTATTAGGCATGGCCTATTTATCCTTACGAACGAAAGTTACTTCATCATCAAGACAAATTTATGAAGGTAAACTTTGTTCTTTATACCATGTTACGAGGGCGGCACTGAAAATTTCGGGAATCAAGGAAGTGACACAACATTACTATTTAAAAATGTATTTATTGCTTTTCGAAGTATTCTCCGCGAAATTTGACACATTTTTCCATACGATGGAACCAATCATTGAAGCAACCATTCCATTCAGAAGTTGGGGTCTCTAAAATAGCCGTTTTGTAGGCGTCCACAGCTTCTTCAGGTGATGAAAATCTTTGTCCACGCAATTTATTCTTTATTTTAGGGAAAGTATAGAAATCATTAGGGCTTAGGTCGGGGCTGTACGGCGGATGGTCTAATAATTCTATGTTTTCTTGCTCTAAAAACTTTTGTTCTGTGTGCGGTGTGAGAACTCGCATTGTCGTGATGGAGGATGATGCAGCGGTTGCAGTTCTCTTTACGGAGTTCAGAAACGACCTGTGGCAAACAAATGCTAGCATACCATTCTGTATTAACCGTTCTTTGTCCCTCAAGAGGAATAGTCGTAACATGGCCGGTTTTGGAGACAAACGTGGCCACCATTTTTTTTTGCAACACCGTGTACGAACAATTTTTGTTGGCTTTAACTCATTTTCGAACACCCAAACTCGTGACTGGTTTTTTGGTCGATCTTCCTCAATCAGCTTACGCACAGCATCAACGTTTTCTTGGGTGACTGCAGTTTTTGGACGACCTTGACGGGGATCATCACTGAGCTTGACACGTCCACGTTGAAATTCAGCAAACCAGCGATAAATTGTGGTTTTGGATGGGGCTTCATTACCAAATGCTGAAATCATCCGGTCAACACACTGTTTTTGTGTTAAACCACTTCGAAAGTTATAATAAATCATCGCTCTTGAATTTTCTCGAGTCAATTCCATTTTCTCAACGACTAAACAAATTTGACAAAACCTTTTTTTTTTTATTTGATAAGGGTGATAAACGAGCACACAGTCCACCTGATGGTAAGTGGTTGCTGCGGCCCATAGACATCTACATCTATCCTCTGTTACAAATCAAAATGTAGATGCGTTGTCACCCGTGAGGACTAAGATGGAATGCCTCATTTCCAGTAAACAGGGCCTCCGGCCACCTGCACTCACCAAGCGAAACGCAGAGGAAAACCTCTACTTCACGCTGGTTTTCTGTGAGGTCGTGGTACTACCCCGGTTCTAGCCAGCCCATCCGTGCGACAGCAAAAGCTGCCACGTGGCTCTACCACTGTTAAAAACCTTGTGACAAGACCGAGAATCTTTTTATAAATAAATAAATGGTATTTGATTTTTAAAACCAAGGTGTTTTCAATTAAAAAGATTTTAATATGACAGGAACAGTGGAAATATTCAGCCTATGTATTTAGATGCATAGTTTAAAGAGATAATGTAAAATCAAAATAATTCAATACTTGGCTGGGCGCGCGAACGATGCTTAAACCCTAGCCGTTATAAAATGCTTGAACTAGGACATGTTGCGCACCTCGGACACGTGATGACGCGGGTGAAACCGCGGGGCACAGCTAGTCAATGATATGTTGCTAACCGGTGACATTCATTGCTATGCGGATGATAGGACTGGTGATGCTCTATACACAGGCCGTGCCAATATTTCTCAGGAAAACGTCGCCGAGTACCGGAACAAACTTATGTCTCAAGTCGAGTCTTCGCTGAACAAAGTTTCGGATCGGGGGCGATTAAATCTAGTCCAGTTTATTCCTCAAAATACACAAGTTTGTGCGTTTACTGCTAAAATGAACCCCTTTGTCGTATCTCCTTAGTTTCAAGGCACTCCCCTTGTTGCCTCAGCCAGTATCGGAATCCTCGGCGTCGACATATCGAGTGGCGTGCAGTTTCGTGGTCACTTGGAAGAGAAGGCCAAATTGGCCTTTAGATAGATTGGTGTCCGCAGCAGAGCGGGGCAGTATTTCATGCCGGCACACCGTCTGCAACTTTACAAGGCGTAGGTTCGGCCGCACATGGAATACTGTGCCCATCTTTGGGCTGGGGCTCCCCAGTGCCAGCTCTTTTCTCTTGAACGCATATGCGGTCTCTCATCTCAGGGGTACCTCGTTTAGAGCCGGGGCGGCACCAGAGGCAGCTGAACTGAATAAGTAGCGCAAATATGAGTCTCTGAGAGATGACTACATATTTGTGCCATTTGCTGTGGAGACTATCGGTCCGTGGGGTCCACGTGCGGTGAAGTTCCTAAAGGAACTCCATCCGCGGCTGGTCGTTGCTGCTGGTGATAAGAGGGCTAATTCTTTTCTCGCTCAAAGGCTAAGTATAGCCATTCAGCAGGGAAACGCACCCAGCGTTCTTGGCATGATACCGCGGGGAGTAGGACTGTATGGTAATTAAGTTAGTTTACTAGTTTCAGTTTTTTTTTTATTATAGTTTTTAATATTGTGTATAATAAACAGTATGTATCATTATTATTTTATGGTGGTATTTGATTACAGTATTCTTGTAGAATATAAGCCTGCCCCATGGACTGCCTCATAGCGGGGACAAGCTATTGTCAAGAAGATGGTGTTCACTATCTTGTTTCATTTCCTTTTGTTACCTCTTGCAATGGAAGGAACAGGAATATGATGTAGTCATTACACTTAAACGGCTACTTATATAACACTTGTTACTTAAACTATATTTTCAAATTTAAATATTTAACAAGAAGTGCTGTATAGAGGTGATGTAAACATATCCATTTCTCCATGTCATCCCGTGGGTGTCGTAAGAAACGACAGTGGGAAACTAAAACATGAAAGAAAAAACTGCGACTTTTGATAGACTAAACATTTACTGTCTTTGAATTAATATGTATTTCAGGAAACATGATGTCTTTTAACAATATGATGCCAAATACCATGATGGGTCAACAGCAAATGGATATGCAAGCTCAAAGTATGATGCCTGGCATGAATATGATGCCCAGTATGATGTCAAACATTGTGGATCCCAATATGATGATGATGAACCAGCAAATGATGTCATTAATGCCTAACCAACAGATATACCTTAATTGTGGTGTATTGCTTCCACCACTACCTGGGAGCTCGACACCTAACCGGCGTGAGCGTCCAAAAGGTTGTCGCACAGTTGTTGTTGGTGGTCTTCCATATGGTGTGACGTCTGAAATTGTGGTGGAGATATTCCAACGGTTTGGAGATATAACTGAAGTGAAATCGCCTAGATATGGAATTTACCATATTCGGTTTTCCTCAGAGGAGATAGTAGAACAGGCATTCTCTTTAACTGGTTATCGGTTTAAGTTCCACGACCAGTTGGATAATGAGGCAACAACTATTTTTATTGATTATGCTGTGGTGAGTTATTCTTAAAATTCATTAATTCGTTCATTACAGACACATTAAACTTTGATTGTCTTGTAGTGGGTATACTCGCGATAGTTGCCATGTTTGGCAGATGATTTGCAATGGAAATTTTTATTAATTTAGTTGTATCAAGAAGATGCTGTTGTCCATCTCCTGTTTCAATTTACTTATATGACCACTTACAACACCCACGGTATATATATGAGTGAGTATTCTTACGCTACCACTACACAATCAACTACATGGCTCATAAAATAAAACATAGAAAGTAATAATGAAACTGGAAATAAAGCTTCTTTCTTGTTTTGGTCCTTAGGCGTGACAACAATCTGTAATTTGAGATTAAGATATGATTAGACACCTACGTCTGGTGGTGGCCACAAAACCATTGATTTTTTATAATATTGTAACAATTTTACTCATTCTTCTTAACCGACTGCAAAGAAAGGGTTATGTTTTTCGCGCGTATCTTGTATGTTTGTTTGTAAATTCCTTTATTACGTCGTATCTTCCAAAAAGCTGGATGGATTTCAACAGTTAAGGTATCTTTATATTCGTCTTAAAAACCCAAAAGTTCTTAGATAGCTGTTTGAAAAAAAAATCACAAAATAGAAAAGAAGACGTCATTATTTTAGAGAGAATTATATTGGAATAGCCCAAAATATTTGAAGTTGTGTTAGTTGTCTAGTTTTTATTTTCAATGTCTAGTTTTTATTATACAACAGCTAAAATGCTTCAGATATTAAATTTTTAACTTTTAAACTTCAGATTTTAAATAATTTTGTTTTTTATAATATGATATTGATATTTTAATTCAATATAAATTTGCCTCATTGTTAAGGGCCGCGGGTTTGAATCCCGCATGGAACAAGTATTTGTATGGCCTACAGGTAATTGTTCCGGGTCTGGATGTTTGTCCTTGTGAAATTGATATATGTAAACTGCCCCCACGATACAGGAGAAAAACCTAGTATGGAGGTAACATTTTTATTATAAATAAATAAAAAAATATTACGTAATACTTATTAAAAGACTATTTTTATTTACCACTTGTCTTTACCACTTAATTTTCTTTATAATTTTAAAACACCTATTAATGTATTTGAACTTTCCAAATGTCAATAAATCGAATACATATGGAGTCAGGGAAACAGTAAAAGCCATTTTGATATTTAATCGAGGATAGATGTGGGTGTATATGGGCCCCAATATCATAGTGAGAAAAAAGAGGCACTTCATTTTGCAACAGTAGCAGAATAAAGTAGAAAAAATAAAGGTATCGAATTTATCTCCTTTATGCCATCAGAACAGGGAAGATGAAAATGAATACGAGAAAAACAAGCGTAATCGCGGCTTCACGCCACCTCGCGCGGAACCCTTTACCGCAAACGCTCTGGCTACCATCACCGAAAAGATCAAAAGTGAAGAAGAGTTTGCCAATTCTGCTCCAGTAAGTAATTATAAGTTGAGATATCTATGGTCTCTTATTTTAATTTTCTCTTTTCACCTTATCGTTAGGAGTCACCCCTAATATACTTCTCAATAACTGCATTTCTACAGCTTTGATTTCACTTTCATGCTTATTCTACATCAAATTTTACTATCATACATTAAGTTAGGGACTAATAGTCCCTAACTTAATGTATGATAGTGGCGTAGCTAGGGCTCCAAATTAGGGCAAGCCGAAGATATGATTTTGTTGTTTTTAGCAGTTTTATAAAAACACATCAATCTTGATCTGTCTCCACTCTTCAGTTTCATATTCAGTGCTGTCGAGGACGTGTTTAACAAAGCACACAGAAGGCATACTACTGCTAGATAGATTGTTTGACATATCAGCAATTGCATACCTTCGGTGGCTTTGTCACAATGCAATAACAATAAAATAACAAAAAATAACAATATACATGAACAAAAGAAAAGCATGAACAAAGTACAAACAAACTATATACAGATATAAAAAAAAAAATTATTTATATTCTAAATCGAATCCTCTCTTTTTTTTAAGGAAAGATTTGATTTCGTCCGCGTAAACTGTTGGTGAACGTTTTAATTGTACCAATAACTGTTTATGTGGATATGAGCGGTTTTTTCTCAACAAAGTTACCTTTTCCTCGCCGATTAGCACTTTAACATACTTCATTTCATCACAAGGAACACTACTATCCACTATTTAGCATAAATTTGCAACTCGCAATATTCTTTCGCTCAAGTAAACACACAGAGTAAACATTGAAGAAGTGAAGTTGCAAACGTATCGCCCGCGCTCGACTAACTTCACACCAAAAGCCCAGCTTATGGCTCCATCCTAATTGTTATATAAACAATCGTAGTTATATTTCATTATAGAACATCTTGCCACAGGTTAGAAAGGGAGCAATCGTCTTCTCGAAAGCCCGGTAAAAAGCGCACGCGTGCGAAAGAGACGACTAATCGCTCAACTCAACTCTTTTTTTATGACAGGAGTATCGCGTAGTAAAGCAAACTGCCAGGTGTTGACGTTACATAATAAGGCTACGAGGTCATGACCTGTGTAGAACAGAGGAGGGCGCGGGAAATTTGAAATAGTTTGAACAGTGGTAGAGCCACGCGGCGGCTTTTGCTGTCGCACGGATGGGCCGGCTCGAACCGGGGTGGTACCACGACCTCACAGAATACCAACGTGAAGTAGAGGTTTACCTCTGCGTTTCGCTTGGTGAGTGCAACTGGCCGGAGGCCCTTTTGGAAATGAGGCATTCCATCTTAGTCCTCACGGGTGACAACGTATCTGCATTTTGATTCGCAAACGAGGATAGATGTAGATGTCTATGGGCCGCAGCAACCACTTACCATCAGGTGGACTGTGTGCTCGTTTGTCACCCTTATCTTATAAAAAAAAAATCAGCTTACGAGTTATTTTATTATTTGATATTATTGATTGAGCAGTTTGATAGGGTAAGCCCAACTTCTCGGCTTCTATGGAGGCTTCGCTACCGACTATTATATACAACATTAACAATGCCTTTTTGACTATGTAATGTTATTTTTTTATAAATGTGTATTTATTGAATTATGTATGGTGAATTCTTTGAAAATATTTTGTCACAGAAATTATTATTAAATTGACAAGCTTTGTCGTCATGCACTATGTTATGTATAAATGATACAGAAATATTCAATTTTAGACCCTGGCAGTTTGGTTGGAACGAGGCGAATGCAATAAAAAGAATGCAAACGTTTTCTATTCGCTAATACAAGCGAGCAACAATCAACTCCGACGGCTGTTCAATGAAAAGATGCAGTTGGATGAAGAGTTTCAAAATCTGAAGTCCAGTATGAGGGAGAAATTCGCCCGTGTCGTAATGCAATGTAAGTATCTGATAGAACTGGTTCAGCGGTTTGGCAGTACATGCCAGAAGGAAACAATTCCAGCAGCAAAGATCTACTTGTTGACTGTGAGTCATACCAGATCGAAAAGGATGAAGTCCATGGTGTGCATATTAGTCTGACTGATGCGCCCGGAGGATACAAATTGAAGGAAGATCGGACCTGATCTAGATCACCAATGGCAAACTTGTTTTTTTAATAATCTCATCATTATTAAAGTATTTTGTTGTTATTTTTTTTCACATTATGTTATCCATGTCAAGAAAGGCATATTAAACATTTAAAAAAAATTGCCATTACTGATCTAGAGGGTTTTAAACAGTATTTACGATGTCATCGTTTTGCATCCAAGACAGTGTAACGTGAAATTTAAAAGATTCTGCTTTATTTGCATATATGTTATTATTTATTTACAGACGGTATTAAATATATATAAAAAACTTCCTAGAAACTTATTGTCTTCACATGAAGAAACTTAAGGTAGCATAACTAATGTAATTCTGATTTTGTATATACTTTCCGTGGTTTTGGAAGTTGCCGGGTTTTTGTTCTTTCACATGATTTTGGATGCCGAACGACGATATATTTTCCTGGATAACACACAAAGAAGAGCCAAGAGCGTCCGCGTTGTGAATTCACTTTCACCCCTCAAGGTGGATGTAAACAGTAATACATTACACAGGTGTTAAAGAAAATTTGGTAAGTCACACACAAAACACAAACAAGCATTATTTAAAAAAAACGAAAAGACAGCTCTGGATACGGTTTGATCTGTATGAATTAATGTTCGATTATTTTTGGGAAAAAAAAATTACAAAATCAATTAAACGCACACATATAAGTTTGGACTGCTTAAAATCGATTACAAGAAATGATTTGATAGATTGAATGTAAAATTCCAAATGGAAAGTCAATAAGAGTGTAAAATGTTATTACATTATAAGAAACTTTGTCAGCCAGCGTGAATCAGCAGTGGTGACTTTTTGTTCCTGCTGAACAGTTCCCGAGGTAACTTCGAAGACTTCAAATGATAAAGTTTCTGCTTAAAAATCAATCATAATACTTGTTTGTGTTTAGACAATGACCTTAGCTACGTTGACACTTGCAATTTCTTAATAATCGATAAAATAATATATTTAGTATTAAATTTGTATTTTACTCCAAGTATATAAAAATGAAAGTAATTTTTTCATTAAGGGACCGTTCAAGTATTACGTAACGCAATTTTTGAATATTTTTGACCCTCCCACCCCCTATGTAACGCGCCGTAACGTTTATAAAGACCCCCCCCCCCCTCCCCCTCTCTAAACGTTACGTAACACCCAAGTGACCATTTTTACCTAAACGTCACAATTACTTTGCGCAAATTACCGGAAAGTCGCTAAAATAACTTTGTTATTGTTTTAATCGCGTTTGCGGTAATCTATAATATAAAAATGAATCGCTGAATGTGTTGCTAAGCGCAAATCTCGAGAGCAGCTGGACCGATTTCGCTAATTCTTTTTTTATAATATTTCCTGAAGTACTAATATGGTTCTTACGGAGAGAAAAGTTTAATAAATTGCCTGAAAAAGTATAAAAACAACACTTTTCTATATTCCCAAACAAAAGATTCGTAACAATACTTAAAAGGCAATTTGAACTTTAACACCATACCAATAAAGTTTAAGTGTTAGTGGAGGGGTTCCGGTAAGGCAAAACAATTGAGTGACGTTATTATCGTATAAATATAATATTTGTTATATGGCAGCGGAACCTGGGTATGCCAGAAGAAGCATAAAAGAAAGTTGAATGCAGTGGAGATGCAATCTCTTCGTAAAATGTGCGGCGTTACCATGGCCGACTGAAACCGAAACGAAGAGATTCGCAATATGGCAGGTTTGAAAGATGACCTTATCACAAAAATTGATAAGGGCGTGCTTCGATGGTTTGGGCACGTTGAGCGAATGAGTGAAGGCCGAATGGTGAAGAAAATATATAGCGCGAAAGTAAATATTAAAAGGTGTCGAGGTAGACCGAGACTAACTTTCGAAGACCATGTGAGCAAATTGCTCGAAGAGGGGAGGGTCAAGAGTACTCGGATACCTAGACGTGCATGTATGAAGAAGATAATGAATCTGAAAGAAGCGAAAGAGGTAGGTAAGGATCGTGACACTTGGCGATCTGTTCTCTCTGGCTACCCTGTCAGGGATTGTGCGTGAAGGTAAATAAATAAATAAATATAATATCGTATCGTATCGTATAAATATTTGTCAATATTTCTACGATGGGTAATATTGCGGTACGAAGTTCGACGGGTCAGCTAGTAATAAATAAAACGAGATTTCTTCCTCGCAATACATTGTTGATTGTTTATTTTATTTATTCATATTGTTATTTAATAAACAATCACACAATGTAATAAACTTTTGATTAAGTTTAAAATATGTTAAAATGGGCTCAAATCAATCCTAATAAACTTTTATTACTAACCTTACATTTAATTACGCCGTATTTTTAACTTGGCCTTTTCCTTACATACATTTTATTAAATAAACTCTTAAAATAAAATAACATATTTATTTTTACCTTTGGCAATGCAATGTAAAAAACAAACAAAAACTTGTCTGAAGTCGATTCTTTGCTGAACAAAGTCTCGGATTGGGGGCGACTAAATCTAGTCCAGTTCATTCCCCAGAAGACACAAGTTTGCGCGTTTACCGCTAAAAGAACCCCTTTGTCGTATCTCCTCAGTTTCAAGGCACTCCCTTTGCTACCTCAGCTAGCATCGGAATCCTCGGCGTCAACCTAAACGAAAAGAGTTGCTAACTTGGAAGATTTTAATTCCCTTGTTTTATTATTTAAAATAAAAAAATGTTACATAACGCGTTGGTCGAACCCCCCTCCCGCCCCTGTAACGCATCGTAACGTTTTACAAGACCCCCCCTCCCCCCAAATTGCGTTACGTAATACTTGAACGCCCCCTAATAGCGCAACACATACTTGGATAATTAACTACATAAATAGATAAATCTAAAACTATTTGGTGTCAATGTGGCTATAGTAGACTTCAAGATTGCACCATTAATGGTTCCTCGGCGTAAGTATTTCTACGACAGTAAAGAGGTCACATTCGGACCGACAGTTCCATTGATAATCCTTGAAGGTGGGCTTAAGAAATTACCAGATTTATCAGCGCCGATTTTGCTAACCCCGTAATAACAAGAGCGAAGACGTCACTTCGGATTGATCGGCGCAACATGATTTCGTCGGTACTGCAGTTTCAAGCTGAACAGATGGTGAAATTAAGCAACTATAGTCAATTTGGTGCTGATAAATGTGGGATTTTTTTTTTAGTATTCAAATTATTATTTTTATGATTAATTTCAAATTATTAATTTTCTAACTACCCACAAAAATCGGTTGGAACTTCAAGGTGGGAAATGTGAAGCTTTACCAAAATACAATCTTATATTTTTATGGAAGCCTGGTAACTAATTTTTAATATTGTAGTGACAAACGAGCTAATATACCTGATCCTAAGTGTCTACAGCAATCCATACACGCCTGCAACCAATTTCAAAAAAGGCCACAGATGTGTTATCACTCCTTGTGACATAAATTACTCAAAGCTTGTAATAACCCTTGCTCTCCTGTTCCTCAAAATACTTGAGCAGTTGGTGCACTGTTGTTTAGTGGCACAAAGATATAGGTATAGTAAACTCTATGATAGCAATCTTTATGATGAGGTCCCTAAATTGCTGCCAAAAACAGCTAATTTAGAATAAAATAAAAGAATTTAAGTAACAAAGACAAACAGGCAGGCATACCGTCCTCAAGAAAATCCCGAGTTCCCGAGAAAGTTATATACACTATTTACTACGTTCCCGGCATAGCGTGAGAAAAAATGCCAGAAATTTCTTTTTCAAAGTCTAACGTAGCGTCTTTGCTTCAAAACCATTTCAGAAATGAGAGGAGCTTCTATACAAAATTTTAGCTGTTTTAATCTTACGTTAGACTCAAGCTGCAGTTGTTATATGACTGAAGTTCGTTGGGTCGGTTCGTTCGGGGAAGAATCACGCTTTCACAGAAATCTATGCTTGGTGTAAAATAGTGAGATCCGGAGATCCGTTTTACTTATAACGTGGCATTTTCGATTAATCGTGGGTTGACGTCCACCATCAGGGGGAAATGTGTGCTCGATTTTCACGCTTACTTGAATAGAAAAATACAATCAAATTGAAAAATCCCTTTTCGCTCATTTTATAAAATAATTCTGGGGTGATTAATTTTTCGAGGTAGACTTAGGTGACTTGGAAAGTAATTGCTATAATAATGTTTAAAATATCTGACGATAACCAAAATAATATAGTCGTAGCACTTGCCTTGAAAAAATATGTTTGTAATAACAGTTGAGCAGGTAGCGAAAATTCTGTCGGCGGCGAAACATCAGCGTGTCTCCGACCATTTCACCAAGCAGCAGCGCCGCAACATTGAAATGTGGCTGAAAATGACTGAGGTTCGTAATGGGCGATTTTTTTATCCTTGTTTCTGCCCTCGTGAAATACTCTTTGAACGTAATTAAATATTCAACTACGATGACCTTGTGGCTGTAATGGCCCAATACGGTGTCAAACCGATGTAGAAGAATGGTTTTCGGGTGGTAGCCTCTTATCGGTAAAGTCATAGTAAGGCGGTTCGCTACTTAATGACATGAAAGTCGTTGGATTCATATGAGGACGTTCTCTGTGGCAATCTAAGGGCGCGTTCCCACGACACGCACTCGCCACGCGCCACAGCACCCGCGTCTAACTAGCTTTGAAATTTGTTACATATAATTTGAGTCTTATGACAAATCAATAAATCTGAAATTGTATAAAAAGCGCGGAGCGTGAACGTGGGGCGCATGGCGGGCGCGTGGCGTGGGCGAGGCGTGTGCGGTTGGACGTCGATTATGCAATTTCAGATTTTTTTTTATCTCTTCTATTAAAAAGTTTGCATTAATGGAATCATATAGTCATACCGACTATTAGAATCGGACAGGATTCTTTTTACATGTTGTATGAGTACAGTAAGCTGGTAAGTTTGATTTTAAGCACTCACAAAGGCCGGCCGCGTGTCTTTCAAGCAACTAAATTATTAAGGTAACTATCGTCCTGAACAAAGCAGAGTAAACCAAACAGGTTGGAACGCAGAATTGGCCTTCTGATTGTATATGTAAGTATATAGAAATGCAGCTGAGACTACTTGGAGACGGCGAACAAGATTGCTCAATTATAACAAAGGTTGTGAATATCCAATTTGGTAGACATTCACAAGACACCGAACTACCAGAAGAAAATTGAACATCTTTAAATAGTTTGCATAACTCAGGTAAGTACGACGTAAAAAGTGGAAGCAAGAAGATAGAGGACCGTGCTTTGTGGCATTTCTTGGGGGAGGCCTATGTTCAGCAGTGGACTTATGAAAGGCTGTAACGATGATGATGATGAAGAAGATAGAGCTGAATTTTCGTAAAATTATAAGCTGCAACAAAAAGATAATGAAAATATTAATTATCTTATAAGGTTTGTATAGGTTCGATATTGGAGTTATAATCTGTCATTAAAATATTTAAAAAAAATCCATGTTCGGAAAAGAGTAAAATTCACAGCGAGTTTCTGTCTTCATATAAAGCTCTGTGTACACTGGAAAGCAGCAACCCACGACGATATTCTTATTCGTTACATGGATTTTGTTAAATACATCTATATTTTTAAATAAAAAGGTCTAAATTTAAATTATATTTGAAAAGTTAAATTTTCAATAAATCTATATAAATAAAATGATGGAGGTTTGCAGTTGTGCGCGCATCACGGAAAAACTACTGAATAGATTTCAATTAGGTTTTCTAGGTTTTATTTCTTGCACGCTTGGCCCTTATCTAAAAAAAAATAGTGCAATATCTTCATTTAATATAAAGTTATTAAAGTTTTAAGAAACTATGGTTTTTATAAGCACTACATGTTCAGTGATGTGGGTAAGCAAAGTGGACGAAGTCGTGGGTATCAGCTAGTTTGTAATAAAGTTGTTACTAGTCTTACAGCATTTCAAATAATTTTGACCTGTTTAATAATTACTGTAAGGTTTTGACATGACAGATTTTAACAGTTTTGCCTACAAATTTTTATTATTTAATTTTTATTATTAAAACATATGGATTTAGTGTACATACTAGCATTTGGACGAAGTTTTACAGATCTGCACAACATGCTGGCAGTTATTTGCCTAATATATGCACACTTAAGACATATTAGAAACAAATAGGTTAAAATTTTCCTCTATTTTTAAATGTGGACAGTTTCTAATTTCTTTCTGGAACCTTCTAATTAGATATATAGGCTGTTTCTTATGAGTAGGACAGTATGGGGAAAGAATGAATTGTAGTTGTGTTATTAACAGATGAAGTTGATTTAACTCTAGCGTTTTCATCACCCTGTAAATTCACTGCTGGACATTTACTTCTTCCATTATATTGTGTAGGTGTAGGGAGGGTTTGCATCTTGGCTGACGTATTGACGATCGCAATACCACCTCCAAATTAGCATGCAATCAAATGTTTTTAATTACATGCATGTTAAAAACATTGATGTTCAGTAATATTTATTGTATAAAAGTGACCCCAAATCCATAGTTAGTTTCTTTTCTCAGAATTTAATTATGTGCCATGTTTTAGGAGGTGGAAAACATAAAGGAGGAGTTCAATCATATTTTCGAAGATGATGATATCGATAAACCATCACCAAACAAGGCTATGGTTTCTCAAGAAAAGTATGATGAATTGAAGGTAAATTAATGAAAATTCTTTTCTGTTCATTATCCATCTTCATTATTCAAAAAGGAGGAGGTACTCAATGCGACTGTATGTGTTTTTTTTAAATGTGTGTTACCTTATAGCTTTTTTAGGTGAAACAATTTCGATGATTCTTTTTTTATTTGAAAGTTTGTGCTTTTCAGTCCCATATAAATTTGATCAAGGTATTTTATATTCAAGTGGGTTGTACAAAATTTTTAGTTTTAACACTTGTTTTTATATTTTATTGTGTCATTTTTTAATTTTCTATAGCTCTTGGCTAACTCCATTTATTCGTGGTAGAGCCACGGCTGCAGCTATATATTATGGTAGTAGCACGAGTGGGTCGGCTCGTCCGGGGTAAGACTACGCTCTTATAGAATACCAGCGTAAAATAGAAACTTAATGCTGCTGTGTTTTGTATGGTGAGTGTAGAGAACCGGATATCCTTTTTACTGGAAACAAAGCATTTCATCTTAGTCCTCAGAGGTTACAACGCATCTGCATTTTGATCCTTAATTGAAGATAAATGTAGATGTGTATAGGCCACAACATCCACTTCCCATTAGGTGAACTGTGTGCTTGTTTTGTTACCCTTATTCTTTAAAAAAATAAAACCTCACTGATACACAGAGGAGTTTGATACTGCCATTGCTAAACCACTCGCCGAGCGTGACAACACACACACACACACACACACACACACACACACACACATATATATATATATATATATATATATATATATATATATATATATATATATATATATATATAAACATATGTTAATATAATAAGTTTGGAGAATGAATGAATATAATTTTTCAGACCGAGAACGAAAATCTCATGTACGAATTAGAGGGTTACAAAAATGAAGCATACTTGGCTAAAGATGAAGCAGAGAGGAAATTTGAGAAATTTAAGGCTCATTTCATAGCCCAACAGGCATTGCAAAATAAACAGGTATTTTAATTTACTTAATTAACTTTATTATTGTTCAATAAAGTTATTTTAAGTAATAACTAAGACGCTACGAGGGTTCGCAGACCCCAAATTGAGCATCACTGGTGTGTTTGATGGTCAGGCAGGTTTAAACAAGTCGAAGTTGAATTGTAAATCATAAAATGTCTAATGTTTAGTCAATATTAAAATAAAGTGTGTCCTGCTATTAAAATTTTTGAGTGTTTTCAAAGTAAAAAAAAAATCTCTGTTGAGATTTAAAATTTTAAAACCAGTTTTTAATAGATTTAGACTTTAATTTTTAATGTAATTACACATTTTTGACTTCAAATTGTGTAGAGGAGGCACATCATTATTTTTTCAACCAACTTCAAAAAAGGAAGCGGTTCTCAAATCGTGGGAATCTTTTTTTTATGTATGTTCACAGATAACTCGAAGACGCCTGAACCGATATGGAAAATTCTTTTTTTTAAGGGGTACAGTTTCCAGGTGGTCCCATTTAAATTATATCGAAATCTGTCGAGCGGTTTTAAAAAAATCAACAATAAATAATTTATATTGAAATTGGTTGTACAAAATTTTTAATTTTACCACTTGCACGTATTATAAGTCAGTGCTATGCTACCATCCCACCTGATGGTAATTGGTGATGTAGCGGTAAAGCACACTGGCTTGGCTTAACAAAGGCCTGTTTAGTTGCCATTTATTAAACTTTAATATAATTAATTACAGGTGTACCCACCACTACCATCAACTACAAGCTACCTAACAGAGAAAGCTTCATCACCTTCGATAAAACCGAAGCCGTTACCACCGCCTCCAACTCCAGATGACGACAAGGTCATCACATCAGGTCCCTCTGTTCCACCATCTGAAGCGAAACTCATCAGTATTTTGACTGCATTCCTAATGGTACATCCACTTGGTGCTTCCTTGGACTATCTAGTGTCGTATGTAAGGTCTATGACTCCAAACGTAACACAAGCCACAGTATCTCAAATGTTGCAGAAGTACACAGACGTATTTCATTGCAAGACTTCTGGAGTTGGTGCTAGCATTGAGCACAGATGGACGTTCATTACATTTGACCTTATTAAAAGTGAAGCTTGATGCAAATACTACTAATAAGCAAGTTTTTGTATTTGTAATAGTAATTAGAAATAAATAATAATGAATTGCATATTGTGTACTCTTTTTATTTCTCTTCTGTACTTTATTTCATTTTGAGTAGATTAACGAATATTACAAACTCAAGTTAACAACTGAAATGTTTTAATAGTTACATAAAAAATTTCATCGCCTATTTAAGAGGTCTGTACTTAAGAAACGTGCAAATATGCAGTTACGATCTTAAAAATATTAAAGAAATGACTTCATTGAATGACACCACAAAAAAACTCAATTAATAGATGAGTCTTCACTTTAACCGCGTGAAATAATTAGATTTTTGAGAAAAAAAATTGTCAACAATGTTACCATTAATAAACACTTACAACGGCCTTTTCTTTTTTTAAATCTCGACGCTATTTCGTTATTATTTTAGAAAATATTTTCGGTTTAAACGTGAGATTGAAGTATAGATAATGCATTCACCATTCATATTTTTTTTACTAATTCAAACCAAAAAGCAATAATCTATGCCTAAATATCATTAATTTTTTAGCAGAAATCGTTCGCCGCTTTCCATACATTTTTGTATCAAGCGATTATGTTGCCGTAATTCACTTTATATTAGAGAACACGCGTGAAAAAATTCAGTGCCGCCTCAATTTTTGAGATGATTGCCATAGATAAATATATATGTAGCAAGCTACAGATACGACAGTGACTTTTAGTCAAGTTTCCCAACTATGCCTTTTGGCGCTGCAGTCGCCCAGTTTGACAGATGAGTGATAAAATTAAAAAAAAATATAGCTTAGGGATTGCAAGCACACATCCTTCAAATCATCGATATCGATATTTAGCGATGTTCTTATTTTATCGATATCAACGTAACGACGCATTATATAGTTATATTAAAATATTACTTAATGAAACAATTTTGGTACATAAACATTTATTTTTTATTCAAGCACACCAATATCATATACATACACACGTAATCTTAGGATTAAATTAAAAGTACATTGGGTTATATTAAAAATGTACATAACATTGTATATAGGCAGAATTTGACGAAAACAGAGCAATATTTATTGTTCATTAGATAAAGCAAATAGCAAATTAAAGAAATTAAACCACAGGAATCATATTTAATCATAGTGTAAGTAATATTTTACTTTACAAGTTACTTTTTATATTAATTTTAAAACAGCTACAATTCAAATGGTTATGAATTAAAAGAGTACCTTCCCTGTATAAGATAAAGAACTTTTCGCTAGGGTATGCCAAATTATTATTTGGTCACCTAAAGATTCAGTTACAAAATTTCAATATTTTATTATTGCCAATTTTATATACCAATTGTGCCCGTGTAACCTTATTAATATATAATATATTTTTTTACAATGAAAGCATGCTAATTATATCCTAGCCAGGAAAAACTCAAAGTGCTCAATATTTTACTTTTAACATTACTTCTGATACAGCTATAATTCAAATACTTATGAATAAAGTGAGTATCATCCCTGTACAAGATAAGTAATTTTTCGGTAGGGTATGCCAAATTATTATTTTTCAACAATTTATGCTCTAGATTTTATGTAAGAGTGAATATTTGTCTCTGTACTGCTGTTTTGATGCAATCCTTACAAGGAATACCTTTCGATATTTTCCGACAAATGTATCCAGCAGTATAAGCTGAGCAGTGGTATTCAATTTTTTCCATGACTACATCACCCACAAGCAATTTTTCTCTTGAAGTTGCTTGTGAAGAGGACAGGAGAGCTAGCAAAACATTAGGAGTGTTTTCAGAGTAATTTTCTTTATTATTATGAACATTTTTGAAAAGACCGCTAACATTTAATAATGTGTCTCCATAATCCTCTTCGCAATTAGAGAATTTCAAATGTGGACTAACCATGTTAGATAATATCAGATATTTAAAGGCATATATAAATATGTTTGCATCTAGGTCAACATTTCTATAATCTATAACTATTATACATTCAAAAATAAATTTCTAAAGGGTCTTGGCTAATATTGTGATAATAATATTCTACATTATACTGTTCAAATAATAATTATCAACAAGTTTACAGTAACAAGTTATCCTTCCTTGTTGGGATGGCCCTCGCACAAGTCGAGGTTTTCCTACTTGGATAGCATGTTTGCTACTATATAGCATGGTGTCTACAAAAATCATTTTTTTTAATTTTGTTAATGGCTTCAATCCAAAAAGTGTGATGTTGTAAATTTTGTTTAACCACTTGTCTTAACTTTCCTCTTTGCACATCAACCGGGTAGCCATTGACATTGTCAGTGTGTCGAAAAATTCAACAACTTCTGCTGTTGAGGCCATTGTTGCGTCAGAGTTTGCATAATGAAAATAATCTGAAAAAAAAATATATTTTTAATTTAATTACTTTTACAGCTATTGCACCTGCAAGTATTTCACCAAAAGACATTTCCTATTTGCTTACAACTGACTTTGTTAACCTTTATACAATTGTAGTGTGGCTCACGGTATCCACTAATGTAATATCAATTATAAATTTAATGTAGTAATAAACAGCACTTGGCAGATACAGGTTGTCTCATTTAATAACGTCATTACATGGCGACCTTGAGAGGCGAGCTGGCCACCGATAGTAATAAACTCATAATAAATATAAGACCTAATAAATACACACATTACCAAAATGAGGAAAATATTACATAGTGCCATAAAAAGTTTTGGGAACAAGTTGTAAATAAATATTTATAAAATAAAGTAAAAAATATAAAATAATGAGGCAAAGAGACAGCTAAGAAGACTTGAGACGAGAAAAGAGGATTCCTTTTTAATAGGATAAGGGTGACAAACGAGCACACAGTCCACCTGATGGAAGGTGGTTGCTGTGGCCCATAGATATTTATATCTATCCTTGATTACTAATCAAAATGCAGATGCGTTGTCACCCGTGAGGACTAAAATGGAATGCCTCATTTCCAGTAAAAAGGGTCTCCTGTTCTCTACACCCACCATACGAAACAACAGCATTAAGCTGCTATTTTACGCTGGTATTCTGTGAAAGCGTGGTCCATTGGTTTAGTTGTAGCACGAACCATTCGTGCTACAACTAAACCACTAATATAGCTGCAGCATGGCTCTACCGCTTAAAAAATTGATGACAGAGATTACTTTTTTTTACTCAGGTTAACTTTCAAAAAGAAGGTGACAGGCATCATCATAAACTCTCACAAATTTTAAGTGATATAAACAAAAGTTGTACTTTAACCTTTACTTTTCTTATTCGTCTTTGCCTTCTATCATTATCTCTGTCTACGTCTATAATGTGTGGTACTTATATATTACTTTCACAAACATGTATATTGTATTTCTTTACCTGACTTGTTTTGTGTGGTGTACAGTTTAGCTTAGTATCTACTTAACTATCTATTATATTGATAGGTTTAAGCGGATGGCATCCTTGAATTCCTTAGTATATTTATAGAGTTAATTTTAGCACTAACAAAGTTTGATTGTTACAGTGCCATTTGTTAATTTAAGGGAAACCTGTTATTGGCAATACTACATTACACATAGTTATAAGATATACAATTTGTAAGGCTGTTGGTTTTCTTAATAAAATAAATAAATAAATAAAAAGAATATTGGTTGAGAAGATATAAATTGAAGTACACAGTGGTATTCACATAGGGAATTTTAACATTATCAAACCAACCGTGGAGTAAAACAAATAAGAACACAATTATAAATTATGTTTCTAAAAAATTCTCGAGAATTTAATCAAGTGATCAGTTTTAGGAGAACTGAATTTTTGTGTTTTATCTATAAGAAAACAGGAAAAATGTTAATTTCAATCTTTTACCATTACTCATTTTTTAGATGGAAAACTATTAACACAAAGGAAGTGCTACTTGTATATTCATATCCTTATTATTTAAGCTTCATTATTTTGATATCAATGTGTAATGAAAAGTAAATTATGTGATTTATTACATAATATTTTTTTAAGGTCGAAGATTATTTTATAGTATATTTTAAGTGGCTTAGAATATTCCATAAAGAAATACAATTTTGTTTCTAAAATTTGTAAACCATTTCACATTTTGAATAACTCCCAGATCTAGGTACAATTTAAATTAGAAAAGTTAAGTTCCATCTGTATAGGATTTCTCTGTACAAAACATTAATTTGATATAGTAATTAATTGTAATTCTATACCTGATTTACCTAGTATTAGCAAAGATATTAGTAAAAAAAATGTAATTTATACCATTTTTTTTTCAAAATTTCCGATAGGTCTTTATTTCTTGACAGGCATTGGGCTTTCACAAGTCTGAGAAACTGAGTCACCTAAAGTTTTAGTTGCAATCTTTGTCAAAATTTTAACCAATTTTCTCTTCTTTGATACTATTTTCTTCATCAATGTAACCTGTAATGAAATAAATAAAATAATTAAGTACTATATTCATATTTTGTAACTGAATGATAAACATAAAAATATTAATTTATTATTTAGAACTTTTGATGTGTTTGACTTGTTTTGACCATCCTATAAAAGCCCTTGCATTTAGAATAAGATTCGTTCTCATCATAGTAATGTAATCACGTAGTTAAGGAAGTCAGTATTGCACTGAATTAATTTTAATACATTACTGTAATGTAATAGTTATTAAATGTCATTGAGATATATTTGTAGTTTTTAAAAAGCTTCACCACCACTCCCAAAACTTAACTGGCGCAGCCAGCTCACAGCTTACAGCTGAGTTCAAGTACACTCAAATTGGTCTTGTCCACAGTTCCGGATATCCTCAAACCAAATAAGTTTGTTAAATCAGGAGCTGAAGAAACCTTCCTATTCAGACAAGAGGAGATCTACAGGTAGACGTGGCAGTGAGTGGACTGTAAATAAAGCGTTTTACTATCCTGTCTCATTGTAGTTATTTCCTGTGGTTATTTCTTTCTGGCTCTATGTTGTGACTTTTGAACTAAAATCGTTGAA